TGCCTCAGCCTCCCAAGTAGCTGGGACTACAGGTGTCTGCCACAACACCCGGCTATTTTTTTTGCTGCAGTTGTCATTGCTGTTTAGCTGGCCCAAGCCAGGTTTGAACTCGCCAGCCTGGGTGTATGTGGCTGGTGCCCTTATGGGGCTATGGGTGCCGAGCCCAGAAAAGTTACCTTTGATTCAGATAATTTCAAATTGAGATTTGCATATACCAGGTGGAATGTGGTAGGTAAGTAAGAGGACTTGAAACCACAGGTAAACCAGGTACAGTAACCAGGGATACAGATTTTACTAGACTCTTTAATTTTTTGGTGAGGGTGGGTGTAGAGGGGAATGACTATAGTCTAATATTAAACCAAACATAGATATGTATTACTCAACAGACTACAAACTTCTACTCACACAAAATTTGAAATGAGTTCTGAGCTCTGGGTTACCTGCCTCCACCTTTCCCTGATCCCTCATCTCAAAATCTCCAGGGGTTCTGAGTTGGAAAAGTATGGTAAGCACGGCTCAGGTACCAGAAAGTTTCAAGGCCAAGAAAATCGACGTACTGTTACCTGAGCCTGGAAAGGCAGGCAATGCAGGCACATGCTATTTGCTGTGCATAACTTACATGCAACACTGATAGAGAGGGGCAAGGATGCTTCTTTCCTCCAGCAAGGGGTTCCCAAAGCTGAAAATTAAGTTAAAACTTAGTGAATTAGGTGGCAGTATCAGTTCCCTTCTTAGCCTTAAAGCAACAACAAATTCTATAAGAAGGCCAAATGTGATCCTAGATAATTTCATGCTCAAGCAGCTCAAATCACTTACATTGAAAACAAGCAGGGCATGACCAATTAGACACAGGATTCCTAACAGCCTGTACTGAAGTATCTAACTACAAATATACTCATTTATAAGGACCCTTTTTCCTGTCAAGATATCGCAAGGAGCTGGAGCATAACCACAGTAAACACAGTGTAGACATAGAACAAAGGGAGAACTTGGAACCCCTCAGGGTGAAAAAGTTTCAAGGCATAGGGAAAGAAAAAAATTCTATTCATATTAGTTTCTCACAAATAAGCAGATGGCCATTACTTATAAAAAGAAGTTATACTTGTTCTACGACAAAATTACCAATATCCCATTCCCTTACAAGTAAGTATAAGGGCAAATTCAAATTGGGAAACTGTTCACAGAGGCTGAAGAAACATTAATTCCAAACAGATGCATAAATGATCTTAGCAGTAATTCAGAGTCAGAAAGGAACTGATGCTGCAGAGTCTGTCAACCTTCCACTCTTTTCCCAGAAGCTCACCGTAATAGCTGGACGGTCTGGTAGCCCTCAGTACAGTGTAGGTCCTCCAATAATATAAAGCAAAGGCAACTGCTATGGTCTAATGTTTGTGTCCCCTCTAAATTCACATGTTGTCACCTAATCCCCACTCCGACAGAAGTAAGAGATGGGGCCTTTGGGAGATGATTACATCCCCAGAGCAGAGCCCTCACAAATGGGACTAGTGCCCTAATAAAAGAAGCCAGAGGGAGCTTATTGCTTCTTACACATAGAAGGCACTACCTAAGACAAATGGGCCCTCACCAGATACTGACTCCGCTGGCACCCGGTCCTTAAGACTTTCCCAATTCCAGAACTATGAGCAATAAATTTCTGTGGTTTATAAATTGCCCAGTCTAACGTATTTTGCAATAGTAGCACAAACAGACTACAACAACCACTATTTTGATATATCAAATATCATGTGTATCACAATACACTTGCTCATTTTTTTAAAAAGTATGGATAAAGATTTTCACAATCTTTTAGCTCATGGGACACAACAGTGCACTCAGCAATGTCTGAGTGCTCAAAAATAAAAAAAAGCAGAGTGTTACTGAATTGTGTATTCACAGAGTGATCTAACTTAGTCTAGGGGAGAATCTAGGATACAGATGTGAATAAGGCCAAGCATGGAAGCTGGGAAGGAACATACATAGCAGAATGGCCATGACCTGCTTTGCTGTGAGGAGTTAGAGAGGCAGTATGTACTGCCTTTCATGTTCTGTGGCTGTCACCATCTTTCACGGGGCATGAAGCACTTGTTTTCAGTATAAGATGGTGGCCTCATTAGTAAATGCTGCACAAGCTCTCCTTGACAAGAAGCCATGTCTTGGCTTGGCGCCTGTGGCTCAAGCAGCTAAGGCTCCAGCCACATACACCTGAGCTGGTG